ATGAGGGAGACTAGAGACAAGCCGCTCCGCCCCACTTAATATAAATATATTTTCAACAATATATATACGCTTTTGGCTATATTAAAAAAATAAATGGTAATATTTAAACTAAAAGTTAACGTTACAATATTAAATTTTGAATTTTTAGAAATGATGTTAGTAGATATATATATTTGTTTATGAAATATTTAGATTTCGACCTCTGTAAAAATAAATGAAGAATTTTACGGAGATCTATAATGAAATAGGTGGTGAAAATGGGTCGAGAAAGACTTTCCCACCTCTACCCTCCCCATAGATATCTCTACTCACGAGAAAATAAATAAATAAATAAAGCACCGAAATATTATTTTTTAATGGTAATGGAACTTAAGTCAAATGAGAGCACCCATTTTGATGGGAAATAAAGGGATTTAAATACTATAATATTTTTTAATTAAAAATATAATGGCAGGATTGCTCGGTTATTTTCAAACTAATTATCCGTGCGAGCATTAATTTTCATGGTTTTGCTTTTAATTTTCACGAACTAAGCTCGAGACATGATATAATCGGTAGGCATAGATGATGACAATACACCATTGAATGCACGTTTCCTACCATAGTTATATTTGATACCATAAATTAATAAATCGACCTATAACAACACGTATTGACCATGGCTCGAATATTTGGGCTAAATTGGTTAGTCCAATATAGCATTCTCTAGGTGTAGGTTTAGGCATAAATTCACCCCAAATTAATTAATGTAAGAAAATAATTTTTATTTATTTTATTTTAGACTTCCACCATAAGTCAAAATTCGGTAATCATTTCCAATATCTTTTTTCCAATAACTATAAATATTTATTTAGTGTAAATTATAACCATTTTTTATTTTATTTTATAAATTTAAAAAAATATATTATTTGATTCCCATTTGTGTCCACGTTATTAAACTAATACATTCATGTGCATGTTAAACAATTGAGACAAGTAAAATTTCAATTAATATATGAATTTGGCGAACAAGCTCTTGCTTTGACTTATCTCTCGGGCTCCACCACAGGTTGGATTTGAGTGCTTTATTGATCGTTGACTATCTAACACGCAATTAATCCCTCTGCTTGTCGGCTGCTCGGATCTTTGAGTTAAGGCTAATTAATCAGGTGGGTTGAGTTGACTAGACATGCAGTATTAGTTCGTTGGCGAAGATAGCTCGATACAAAGTCAAACTTTCCTCTTCGAAAGGGTCGATTAAAGAAAAAACTCATAAAGAAATTTGTTCATTTTTACGAACGATATCATTATTCCTTGTGATTTTGGGATCTTCCCCAATTTATTTTTATTATTATTATTATATCTAACATAATTTTTAAATGTATAAACAAAAAATAATTTAAAGAAAAATTAAACATTAAATTCACGAATTTTATAAATAAACGAGATAAATGTGCGGCGAATAAAAAAAGTAGGTCCAAGTGGTCCATAATAGGTCAAAAAGATCGGCCCATTTGAGAGGGTAAAACAGTAATTCAGATTCCTCCAATTTACTTTTACCATTTACCCCTCTACAATGGAAGTTACCGTTTCTTTCTGTCCGTACTCGTAACATATAAAATATCACATCAAATATCTAGTTTTATTCACAAGATATGCTAATTATACTTTTTATATTTAATTCACACAAACAATCAAATGATGTAATAATATATTTTATTAATTATTGGAAGATATATATATATATATATATATCCATAAGTTTTATTTTAATTTTTTCAACTCGGAAAATTGTTAACTCTAGCAAACATGTTTAAAAACGGTGAGATTGATGATGATATGTAGAGGGCAAAGCGGACAATATTCTAGCGGTGGACTTTGACTGTTACAAATGATATTAGAGCCAAACACCGGATGATGGTGTGCTAGTAAGGGCGCTAGACCTTTAACGAAGTGAATTGTGAGATCTCAAATTAGTTGAAACAAGTAAAAAAAAACATTCCTTATAAGGGAGTGAAAACCTCGTAAGGAACCAAAGCGGATCTCTTATGAAACAATGTTTTCTTTCCGACCTTTTTGACTAATTGATATGATTTCGGAGGGCAACTTTTGTTAAAACTCGATCAGTTTCTTGAAAAACTTGTTTTCGACATGAAATTTTGAGTATTTAGAGATGGAATTGTTATACCCAATTCTTCAACTCGATGATAGATCGCTCGAACCTGTCTAATAAGGTTTCGTGGCGAAAAATGTATAAGATTATAAGAATGTATGTAGAGTTTAAGACATAAAAATGTTAAAATGGGAAGTGGGTGGAAGTAGTTTGGGGTTGGCCCTTGGAGAATTGAATGCAGGGAGGAGCTCCCCTGCTTGTGTTCCCACACCCCACGTTGATCCATGTTGTTCGAAGACTCTGTTTTTTATAATATGCATAATACATTTATTGTTGCATCGGTAAGTCATTACGCAATTGGAACGAAGTTGATTAATTAATTGTTGGGTGTCAGACAAGCACACTGTATCCATAAAATACTCACCTCCCTAATTCCCTAATCTTCTCTCTCCTTCACAACAAACTCGTTTCATCATCATCATCATATCATCACCATCATCGAGAGAGAAACAGAGATCTGAGAGAGACCCATCATTCAATTCAATCATCAAAAATGGAACTGCCTCCTACTTTCTCATTCTCAACACCCTAATTAATTGCATCTCTGTTTCTTTTAACATCACAAAGATTCACAATACAATCCAACCCTCTTTGATCTGATTCTCTTACTCTGTTTTTCTTGCTCTGTTTCTCATACAACAGTGAAAAGTTACAACAAACAGTGACCGACCGTCCAGATTCCGGGGACAAAAACAGAGACATGAAACAGGGGAAAAACAGAGCAAAACACAAAACTAGTAAATATATACTCAGACGATTGGACTTCTTCATCGATCTTGCCCAAGATTAAGAGCTTTTTTTGAGAGATTTAGCATCCAACGGCCTACCTTAGAAAAGGGATCATCGGGTCTGTTTCTGGTGCTGGGAGTTGCTCTGTTTCTGGTGCTGCTTGCTCTGAACCAGACCCATCGGGTCAAAAGAGGGAAATTTCAATGTCTCTCAGTTGGGTTTGTGAGATTTAAGAAATTCTCCATGTGGGTAGCTTCAAGAATCGGTGTAATCGTGCCAGCAGATGAGCATGGTGACGCATCGTCTCATGATGTAGAATCGAGCCCTCTGTTGTTCGACCAATCTAGCGCACTTTCTTGTAAAAGAGCACCTTCTGTGAGAGGAGGTTTTGATGAGAGGGAAAGAGGATGAGCGGGTTCTGGTCAACCCCTCTTTCTTGGACGTCTTCCATTTGTCATCGAAGTAGAAAGAGGGATCGGTGGCAGTAGCAGTAGCAGTAGAAGTAGAAGTAGTTGCAGTAGCACCGACCAGGGAAGCCATGGATGAAGAAGATTACACCCTTTTTCTCTCTCACACACACACACAACTCGTGTGTGTTTTCAGTGAGAACAAGATGGGAGGATGGGGTTTGAGGGGTTGAAGGAGAGAGAAGAGGGAGGTGAGAAGGAACCTGGGGAAAGGGTTGTGGTTAGTACTATTTATAAAGCGTTTGAAAACAGAGTAGAGAACAAAGAAACAATGGGTGTGGAAAGGATGGGACCAAAAGCTCTTTCAATAATATTTCATCACAAATAAAAACTATAATATCAGCGAACAATATCTATTAACAATGGATATTATTTGCGGAAATTGAAATGGGACCTGCGAGACTTCAACTCCGAGAGATAATCGGAGATCTTTTACTTCACATAAGCCCACAAGACCGCTTTTAAATATAAAGTTAAACCAAAAGTTGAGTTTATAAACTTTCCTCATCACTATACTAAGAGAGTTCAATAATTGAAGAGTGTATTTGTCTGTTTTTTTCTTTTCCTTCAAAGATCAACATGACGTTATGACAACACATCACTTTGTTTCCATTCGAATCTAGAATTTTCCAACTACTCCAAGAAAGCATTTCCTTTTTACCCTATCTTTTATACTGTCCTTTAAAGCAGTAAAAAATATGCTAGGCGAGATCGTGGCCCTTGTGCAGCTATCCAAGGATTGAGGGACATGTGCCCTTAATTTGCTACTATACTTGTAGCCTTGCCACTTATTTCATTTCATTTATAATCAATTTGGTTCATATTCGGTACAAAAACGAGATGTTTTCTATATGAAAGAGGCCTTGTATTTGTCTTTTCACACGTATCCTCTTGAATTATTGCTTTCGAAAGGACGTCTCCGTCTCTGTCTCTTCCAACCCGGTGTCGTGTTCGAGTCAATTTGGGAGCGGTATCGAATATAACGAGGATGACTGTGACGAATTTACGTTGAAGATTTTAATCTCACCAAGAAGTCATTTGATAATTTAGAGTTCTCCTAGAATTAAAATGGGACAGGCTGTTGAGTTGAGCTAAACACTCATAAGCAGGGTTGGCCCAGTTCCACAAAATTATTGGAAAGTCCAAGAAAAAGGCAATAATTTAGTGACCTGGAAATGGGTCTGTGTTGGTGCAGTGAAGGAACCCACCGACCCGCACAAATTAGTGTTGATATTGCAGCTGCCTGCACTGAACCCGCCCAGGCCTTTCCATCCTTTTTAAGCTCAGCTCAGACCTCACTCAGTCACTTGCCTTTATGCAGCGCACGGGCTCGTCCACCGGACATTAAAAAAATTGTCAAAAAGCTCATCTTTTTTCCCTTTTTTGGGTGCTAAATCTTCACAAAATCCCAAGTGCCTTGGGTTTCAAAATTGGGAATCATTCAGTTTGATGTGATTGTACGAAATCATGGTGTGTCGAATTTATGGATACTCAAAGATGTGGGCTTTCGGTGAGGCTCCTCATGAAGTGGGTACCCATTGTTCTAATAATCGTTTCATGAGTTTGTAATTGTCGCATAGTTGTGTAGGCAGCCCAACAATTTTGAAGTCCAAGCCCAATTTGTAGTTGCTTAACCAGTTCCCCAACCCTGCTGCCGCTCATTGCTCTGAAAACCTCTGAAATCTACGGCTGTGGGGCAGAGATGGGGCTTGAAATTCTAAGATCCATTGTTCGACCCCTAACGAGGATCGCCACTTCCCGACCACCATGTCCGGTCACTTCCACTTCCGCGAAACTGGGGTTTCATGTCTCTTCAACTGAAGCTCCTTGGTTGTTCCAAATTGCGACCCATTTCCACAGTTTGACCGACACTCGGTTTCCGAAGAGACGGCCCAGTGACAAACCTCGTCGCAAAAGGGCGAGTTTGAGGCCCCCTGGTTCGTTAACTTGCATTTCCTGGCGTTGTTCTTTGAATTGGATGTTTGATTCCATGAATTAATGGTTTCTAATGCTTTGTTTTCTGAATGGCAGGGCCATATGCTTGGGTTCAATATACCCCTGGTGAGCCAATTCTTCCCAATCAACCGAATGAAGGGAGCGTGAAAAGAAGAAATGAGAAGAAACGCATTAGGTTGCGCCGCGCGTTTATTCTGGTTCGTATGTTATGATATAATCAACTTTGAAGCTTTGTTTGGTGACTTTTATCTTCTTTACTGGGTTTATAGCTCCATAACCATTGCTGTGCTTTGAAATATAAACGTGCTGGTTTTTGCTGTTCTATTATAAACTGTCTAGCGAACTGCACATTGTGGTATGCTAGCTGAATACATATAAATCATGACTGGAATGGGTTAGGCCCGGGAGAGGTTTTCACACCTTTATAAAGAATGTTCGTTTCCCGTGGGATCTCACAATCCATCTCAAGGAGAGGTTTCCACATTCTTATAAAGAAGAATTTCTTTCCCTCTCCAACCAACGTGGGATCTCACAATCTACTCTCCTTGATATCATTTGCAACAATCCAAACCCACACCTAGTAGATATTGTTCTCTTTGGGCTTTCCCTTCTAGACTTCTTTTGAAGGTTTTAAAACGCTCGTCTGTTAGGAAGAGGGTTCCACACCCTTTACTCTCCAACCAAAGTGGGATCTCACAATTTAACTCTAGTTTTTAGAAGATATTTGGAGAAGGGGGAGGGCTTGAAAGGGTGAAATTGTGGAAGCTTGTAACGGGATTTGCTCATTTGTGTATAACTTAGTTGGTTAAGGCGTATATCCTCGACGGGTGTGAAATTTGTTCATGGAATTAAACGTGTCCCCTTAGTTGGTAAATTTATTTACCATTAAACGTATCTCCTTTGTTCATGGTTAAGACGTATACTCTCAACCAATGAGTCCGATATAGGCATCCCGAAATTTGTCCACTCTTGTCTTCTAAGATGATACATTATGTACCATTACCAAAAGACTTGCTGGTTGGTATGTGCAGGGTGAAAAAAAGAAGAGGAAAGCTCAGCTTCAAGAGGCAAAGAAGAAGAAAATCATCAAAAGGGTGGAACGCAAAATGGCTGCAGTAGCTAGGGAAAGAGCTTGGGCTGAAAGATTAGCCCAACTCCAACAGCTCGAAGAAGAGAAGAAGAAGAAATCCATGGAGTAGAGACTATGAACAGTCTCTATTTCCCTTTTTGGCTACAATAAATACAGAACAGATCAAAATTAATCTGTTCATCAGTTGAGTACTGCAGATTAAGATGTATAAATTAATCCTCCGACAGGTTGACTGATTTTTTCTTTCGTATTTCCGACGCACGCCAATCCGAGCTGCAAAACAATTGTAACACTGAAAAAACTAAGTTACGATCGAAGTTCAGACAACCTATCCTGTCTTTTGGTAACCTAGTACACAGACACAGACAGCAAAACTAGGATCAAGACATAACTCCATTATTTCTGAGACTCAGATTTGTATTATTCTATAGTAGTCAAATAGATGAATGTTTGTGGTGTGTCATGATGATGAAGGAGACTCATTGGTGTGTCTTAGAGTAGAGGCAAGTCGGTTTGAGTCGCAACGAGTTGGTGACGTTAGTTTCTGCATGAATTGTATTCAATTAACAAATGAGAACCTCGCCTATGATTCAATGAAACTGGTTCCTTAGTTTTTTCATGAACGGGTTAAGATCACGATGGACTGTGTGAAAAGGGTACTGATCTGCTTTCACTTCACGGATTCAATGCAAAATCTTAAATCAAATTTACCCCAATTACACGGCATTTGTTTTTGTATGTAAGAATCTAACCCACCACACAGCCTACGGGTATCAGTATTTGCTGTAGCCTCCTCCTCATAAAGCCCTCAACGTTCTGAATGGTTGCTGCTGCTTTTGCAAATCTCTCTTCCCTTTACTCCATTTGGAAACTCTTATCACTACATGCTTCTCCTCTACACCTTTCCCATTTTTTCATTCTCACTCGTTTCGATGCCATTGGACACTTCTAGAACTTTTGTTTAAAGGGGACAATATCACAACAAACATCACAGCTCGAGATATACCCCTGAAATCACTGAAAGTTCAAAAAATGTGGAATCCAATGTAGTAAGGTGCGTAAATAGAAAGTTCATAGATGTCCAATTGTGAGATCCCACATCAGTTGTAGAGGAGAACAAAACATTTTTTACAAGAGTGTAAACATCTCCTTAAATGCGTTTTAAAAACCTTGAAGAAAAGAAGAACAGTCTAAAAAAAACAATATTCGTTAGCGGTAGGTTTGAGCTCTTACACTAATGCAACAAGGGATTAGTATCCTTTATTCATTGACTCTTGCCTCTTTCTCTTTTGCCAACCTACAATAATTCGGCCCGAACCTAACCACACTCTTCATCAACATCCCCTTTGATAGGACCGTGGTCGATAACTTCGAATTGTAGCGGTCCAACAGCTACAACAAAACATGTTTGAAAATAATGATGATAATTTGGTGAAAAAACAGGCCATGCATGCATACAGTAAAAGGGGCCATTGTCCCTACATCTGTACACAAGAGGGCCACGGACCCCTACTATGATTTCAAATCATATATATTTACCAGTTAAAATTAGCATAATTTGCATAGAAAGAAAACACACACTGAGGTGAGAAACCTAGAAACGAGTTGTCATGTTTGTGATAGGAGTGTACACGAGTTGCATCGAGTTCAATTGGAGTTAAAAAAGTGGGGTTGGTCGTGCTAACCCAACCAAAAAAATGTCAACCAGCAAATCGATGATTCGAATCTTCAATTTTTCAAACCCTAAAAAAAATCTAACCCAACTTAACTCTGATTGTTTGAGTTGGGTAATTCAAGTTAGTTGGATTCTCGAGTTATATAAACACTTTAATTTGTAATGGTTCAAATCCCGACCTGATATGTCAACCAGCAAACCCATTCAAATTTTCAATTTTTCAGAAATTCAATTCACAACCCGAACCCTAAAAAAAAATATAACCCAACCTAGGTTTAATAACTTGGGTTGGGTAGTTCGAGTTGATTAGATTCTGAGTTATATAAACACTTTAATTTGTGATATTTCAAATCTGAACCGGATAATTGAGAATATACATGGCCGTAAATCGAAGTTGAGAATTACACCTTGGTTGGGAAAGAGAACGAAACACAATTTATAAGCATGTATAAATCTTTCAGTAGCAGATACACTTTAAAGTCTTGAGTGGAAGCCTAAAAGTGAATGCTCAAACATGATAATATCTGACTAGCGGTTGGCTTTGCATGAACATCTTCGTTATCACTCCCATCATTCTGCAAACCCTAAAACGGGCCGTGAGTAAAAACAGATTGTTGTCCATGAAAAGAAGAAAAAACAGATCAAAACAAAACCCAGATGGGTTTGAAGGACAAAAAATGGAGAGAGGTTAAAAGAGAATAATAATTATAATAATAAGAATAAGAAGAAGAAGAAGAAGAAGAACACAAATAATACCCATGAAAGAGGAAGAGGGAATGATGGAAGGTGGTGCAGCATCTGCATCATCTGAAAAGCCTTACAGATATGCTCCAACCATCAACAAATTAAATAAATAAATAAAAAATGGTATATTGGTTTGGAAAGTACAGACATTTCTGAGGCGAAGGGGCCAACAAAAGTAACCAAAAAATAGAACCACAGATATTGCATAGTTTTAGCACTAAAGAAGGATGGAATGATGGAGCGTTGGAAGAAGCCATTAATGGCCGCTGCAGCATCATCAAGATTCTCAAACCTGGAAGAGACTGTGAATCTTGATGATGCAGCAACAGCAAACAATGGCTGAGTAATGAAACAGGAGCCGAGGGAGAGAGGAGATGGGAAGAAGGGATGATAATGGGTTTGTATATATAGACTGTTTCCATGGAGGAGGAAGCAACCTGGCTTGTTCTTAAATTAAAATTAAAAAAAAAAAGAAAAAAAACATGGCGTACCAAAACCTTTAATCCTTCGATTACTGAGAGTGGATTGCAAAATCTCACATTAAAATAACAATATCTAATTAATATTTTAATCCAAAATTTAAAAAATTAGCCCTTCTAATACTTAAATGAAAGATTTGGTTCGTGTTTAATAATTTTTTGGGTCATAGGATCATAATGTAATCGACCACATAAGACGTAGTAATTGACATGTATGAATTTTGTGACGTGGAACGGTGTGACAAGGAGGTAAGAATTAAAGTTGGTATTAGGGATGGATTAAGGGAAAATTGAAGTTAATGGGGGTGATGATTGGTTAATTAGGAGAATAATTAGGGTTTGTTGTGGGGGTGGAAAAAGAGAATAAAGGTAATTGTGTGGTTGAAGAGATTGGGTGTGTCCTTTGAAAGGGGGGGACGGGTCCGAATTGACATGACCCTGACCCTGACCCTGCCCCTGACCCTGACCCTCACCCTCACCCTGCCCCACCCATCTAGCAAACAAAAGGTACAACAACACAACACTTCAATTCCTGCCTTTATCGTCATTTCACATCTCTTTTATGATATTTTTAAATCCTCAAAATTAAATTCAAATCAAATAATCTATGCTTTTGTGTTATACCTAACCAGATGCCCATTTAGTTTTATTTTTTATTTTTGGTTTTCTAATGCTATATTCCCACATTACCCCTTCCCTATCCTCCACATGTTAAAAAAAACCCAGCTACCTAATTTGTGGCTTACAAGGAAATGTCAAATGACCACGTGGCATTTATTTATATTTTTGTTTTTGTTTCATATTTTAGAATGAAATTTTAATTTTATATAATAACTTTCATTAGCGTAAAATTTATATTTTGACTTTAATATTAAATATCTTATTAAAAACAAAATATTGTCCTAAGAATCTTAGGGCATCATATTTTTTTTGTTGTTTACTTTCTTAAAGATATTATTAAATTTTTTTATTTATAATAAAATCAAAACTTTTAAAAATGACACAAATAGGACGGATACTACCTCAAATTTAACCCATAGTTAGTTATGAGTATGTTACGATAGAATACAATTTTGTTTATAAGTAATTAATTTCTCGAAAAAATAATAATTAAATTCTTTTTCTTCGTAAATAAAAAATATAAATTTAATTTAATTCCATCCAGGTGTTTTTTTTTTTTTTTTTTTTGTTCAATAATACGTTGGGCTCCTACTCCACAAAACATTTAGTATCTCATCCAACTGAGTATTGTCTTAGGAATCTTTGGATATCATATCACATGTTGTTATCTTCTTTGTTTTTTTTTTCTTTTTTAGATTTTATTGGAAAAACATATTTAATGAAATTAAAAAATAACGTACGTAACAGCGACAAGACACTAACTCAAATTTCAACCACAAATATTCATATATGGTTTATCGTCACATACGGTTTATTTTATTTGGTATGAAATTAAAGATATTTGTTATATTTCATACTATATATATAACCTTTGTTATAATGTTGAAATATGCCTAAATTAATCTTATTTTATTTAATTTTTTTAGTTTACATAAATTTGTAATTATATAACATTATACTCTGCTGTTGTATTTTTATATGTCTAATTCATCTTTTATTTGTAAAATCATAAAAAATTAAAGAGATTTTCACACCCTTTTAAGAAATGTTTCATTTCTACCTCCCACCGACGTGAGATTTCAAAATCCACCCTTTTAGAGTCCAACGTTTTTGCTAACACACATTCAACTGTTTGGTTGTGTTATTATTTATAACAACTCAAACTCACTGTTTAGCAAATATTGCTCTCTTTTAACTTATTATGTATTGTCGTCGTTAGTTTCACGGTTCTAAAACATGTCTACTACGGAGAGGTTTCCTCACCCTTATCAGTAAAACCGGTGTGAGATCTCACAATCCATCCACTTGAGAGTTTAGTGTCTTCGCTAGCACACCGTCCAGTGTCTGGCTATGTTATCATTTATAACAGTCAAAGTCCACTGTTAACAGATATTATTGACTTTAACTCGTTATATATTACCACCAACCTAACAGTGTTTTATTACACACCCTTGTGTAGAAATGTGAAACACACCCTTGTGTAGAAATGTGAATATGTGCATAGTCCCAGATCAACTCGGCTATATGTTGATTGGTTGAACAATGTAAGAGTGTGTTTGGGAGATGAACATAAAATGGTGGTGTCTGGTATTTCCGAGGGTGTCGTATCAATCAACATGTGATGTGATTTTATGACGGCTAATTGGAAGTATGGGACAACAAACAATGTCATACATTAAGTCTCTGTCAATAATGTTCCACGATCTCTGCAAGCTTGGGAGTGCGTGCAGTGAGCCTATGTTTTTACTTACTTGCTTCCTTTTCTGCTGCCTCGTCCTCAGGCCCCCTCAGGCCCCCTCAGCCCCCTCAGCCCCCTCAGCCCCATGGCCCCTCCCTCCTTCATCTTCAAATACTCCCTTCCCTTCCCTTCCCACTGCAGTATCATTCACAAACCTCGTGTCTTGTCTGTGGTACCTATGGGACCAACCGAATCTAATCGAATGTAAACATCCTTTCTGTTGAGGATCGTTAGGAGGGAGTCGTCCCATATTGACTTATTTAGAGAATGATCATGAACTTATAAAATCTATTGGCAAGAGACTTTTTGGAGAAGCTCAAACCAAAGTTATGAGAACTTATACTAAAGTGAACAATATCGTACCATTGTGGAGAGTCGTGATTCCTAACACTTTCCATCGGTCGATCTAAGCTTCTAAAAAGTTTCTGAATTTTAAAATATTAACCTTACAAAAATCAAATACAATCGATTATTTTATCTTATTAGAATATGATGTGCATTACAATAATATATTATTGTTTTACCTATAAAAAATTTAATACATGATTAAAAATTTAATTGTGAAAAGGAATTGAGTCCGATTCGATAAATGGGCTTTTGAGCAAAATATTTGGGCCGGATTAAATCATAATCCTATCCGGCCCAGGCCCAAATGAAAAGACGAGCAAGCCAGCTAAGCGTGAGCTTCGTTCATACAATTTGACCGTTGCAAAACTTTCCAAATAGACCATATCTTATAAAAATTTAAAAAAACGCCCCGTTCATGACTTTGTTTTTTCCCATTTTAGCCCTGTCCCTCTTGGTATAAACCCTAACAGAATTTGACCGTTACTTCTTCCTCGCAGTCGCAGTGATCAGGAAAAGAGAAACAGAGGAGACTCTTAATTGGTTTTCTCTGTTGCATTGAAATTATCGGAGTCCCCATAAAATCACCTTTCTTTCTTAGATCAAAGAAAGAAGAGAATGGAGTCTCCTCAAGCAAGAAAAACAGGGCTGAATCTCCCAGCTGGAATGGCGGAAAGGCCGCTTCAGCTTGAAACGTTTTCGGGTTCGTTTCGGGCGATATCGAGCTTGTCGTCCCCTTCGAAAAACTCGACTTGTAGTGACAGATTCATTCCTTGTAGATCGTCGTCCAGGCTTCACACATTTGGGCTGATTGAAAAGGGCTCCCCAGTGAAAGAAGGCGGAAATGAAGCCTATTCAAGGTTGTTGAAATCGGAGCTTTTTGGATCTGATTTTGGCTCTTTTTCCCCTGCAGGTTCTTCCCAGGGCCATGGCTCCCCTATGAGCCCCAGCAAGAACATGCTCAGGTTCAAGACCGATCATTCTGCCCCAAATTCCCCTTATTCCCCTTCCCTTTTCAGCCAAGATGCTGCCTATTCTTCTGACATCTCAACGCCCCCAAAGCCGCCTCGCAAAGTCCCCAAGACACCTCATAAGGTCCCTTCTTCCTTAAAACTTTGTGTTTCTTTGTTATGGAATGAATTAAGTATTGAGCTGAGTGATACTGTTGCAGGTTCTGGATGCGCCCTCGCTTCAAGATGATTTCTACTTGAATCTTGTAGATTGGTCATCACAGAATGTGTTGGCTGTGGGACTTGGAACTTGCGTTTATTTATGGAGTGCATCCAATTGCAAGGTACGTTCACTTCACAGATCAACAACTCCTGTTCTTGTTTTTGTTAACCCATTTTCATCAACTGGGTGTGTTTGTTTCATTTTCAGGTCACTAAGCTTTGTGATTTGGGACCCAATGATGGTGTGTGCTCAATTCAATGGACCAAAGAGGGTTCCTACATATCCATTGGAACAAATCTGGGTCAGGTTCAGGTAACACAATAGAAGATAGATATTGGAGTTTGAGGTCATGTTTCAGGACGAAAGCTCATCTTTTCTTCTTTTTCAGATATGGGATGGGAGTCAGTGCAAGAAAGTTAGAACCATGGGAGGGCATCAAACAAGAACTGGTGTTTTGGCTTGGAATTCTCGCATATTGGCATCTGGAAGCAGAGATCGTAATATTCTTCAACATGATCTTCGGGTTGCTAGTGAGTTTGTGAACAAACTCGTAGGCCATAAATCTGAGGTGAGAACCAGAAAACTGGCTAAATTAGATTAAAACAACATTAAAAGCTTATATTAATTCTTGTAAATCAATCCTGTAGGTTTGTGGGCTTAAATGGTCAAATGATGACAGAGAGCTTGCCTCCGGTGGTAATGACAATCAGGTTAGTGACATAGATAATAATCCATCCTCTTTCTTTGATCTGATCATTTAATGACAGAGATTTTCTTGTTGGTGGGTATGAACAGCTTTTGGTATGGAACCAGCATTCGCAGCAGCAGCCTGTATTGAGACTAACTGAGCACAAAGCTGCTGTTAAGGCCATCGCTTGGTCACCCCACCAGAGCAGCCTTCTTGCATCTGGCGGTGGCACTGCTGATCGATGCATTCGCTTCTGGAATACTGCAAATGGGCACCAGTTGGAGAGTGTTGACACTGGAAGCCAGGTTTTTCCTTGTAAAGAGTAGATTGGGTGTGATGGTGTAAGATCCCCGTCGGCGGGAGAGGTGAACGAAGCATTCCTTATAAGGGTGTGGAAACTTCTCCCTGGCATACGTTTTTTAAAAATCGTAAGGCTGACAACTATACGTAATGGGCCAAAGTGAACAATATCGATTAGCGGTAAGCTTGGGCTGTTACGAATGATATCAGGGTCAGACAACGAGCGGTGTGTCAGCAAGTATGCTATAAGCCCCAAGGGGGTGGATTATGAAATCCCACAACGGTTGGAGAGGAAAACGAAACATTTCTTATAAGGGCGTGGAAAACTCTTTCCAACCGATTAGCTGTGGGCTTGGCTGTGATTGATGGGAACTGATTCCCACAACTTCTCAACCTTTTGATAAACTCTGTCAAATTTTGTTCAGGTTTGCAATCTTGCATGGAGTAAGAACGTAAATGAACTTGTGAGCACACATGGGTATTCCCAGAACCAGATTATGGTGTGGAAATATCCATCAATGGGGAAGGTTTGTTTTCCACAACAATTGAAAATGAATAAAGTAAATTCTCAGGCTTGAATCTGTTACCTGTTCTTCCTCAATAGGTAGCCACTCTAACTGGACATACAATGAGGGTGCTGTACCTGGCAATGTCTCCCGACGGTCAGGTATATTTGAACATGTTCTTATGCCACTTGTTGAAGGATCAAACTTCCTCTTTGAGAGAATCTCATAAATATAGCCTCTTGCAGACAATTGTAACAGGTGCTGGAGATGAAACTCTTCGGTTCTGGAATATCTTCCCATCAATGAAAACACAGGTAAAGATGAATAATACAGCAAAACATCCGTTAACCTTAAATTTCTCATAGCTTTTTTAATGATGTTGCTGTTTTTTCAGACACCAGTCAAAGATACGGGCCTGTGGTCACTAGGACGGACGCAAATTCGGTGAAGCCAAATTTTGTATTCATTCATTTGTTGTAAATGGTAGTTCGAGCTGTGCTCTCGTGTTTTTAGTATAAATAAGATAAAGGGATGATAATTAATGAAATGAAGATTACATGGGTAGCAAGTAACGAAACTCGGATTCATAAGGTTGAATTTCCACCATTTTCTTGATAGGAGACTTAGTTTCACCATTCAAACACTCCATTATTAACCTCTTCAAGCTTGCTGAGCCAGGAAGTTGGCTATAAATCCATTCCAACATCGATTCCATGTCGTCTGCAAAGTCTTTCATGTGCCATTCAAGAAGCTTTGGCACCATTATCTTCTTCTTGCTTGTCATCCCCACTGATGCTTCCAAATACTCCACTTTTGCCAACCCCAGCTCGTTCACCACTTCCTCAGGAGTATACACCCTTAACTTCATAAAGTTTCCACACTTATCTTTGTCAATTTTCCTTCAAAGATCCATCGAAGTTCATAAAATCTATAGCAGAAGAAAGACACTTACTGCAGGAGATGACCAGCTGCCTCGACATAGAGCAAATGTCACATTAGGTTCCGGATATCCTAAGCCATAGGCATGCCTAAGCAGCATTTCCTTCTCATCTAAAGCCTTCAAAGAAAACACCCATAATTAGAGTACAGCCCACCGCGAGTAGATATTGTCCTCTTTAGGCTTTCCCTTTCGGGCTTCCCTTCGAGGCTTTAAAACACGTATGCTAGGCTAGGAGAAGATTTACACACCCTTATAAAGGGTGTTTTGTTCTCCTCCCCAACCAATGTGGGACATCATAAAATAACTAGGAGATGGTTATCGCTTACGTAATTTGTTTCGGTTGGATGCCGAAGAATGAAATGTTCGATAGCCAGAGCATTGAGAACTATCCCACCAACATTAAGAGCAGCCTGCAGGTCAGAGGAATCACTCAGAGAAGTTCAATGATAATGGTAACACATTTCATTTTGTACACCTTGTTCATCAAAGTCAAGAGCTTTTCTGTTGTCGATGGCTGCCCATGTTCGAGAAATGCCTGAAATTTGGTTGATTACGGTCAGTATATTCGAGTAGAAACACGACTGATATTCATGTGTGTCTTACATGTCTTACAGTACATGCATTATAGAGGAGTTATATATGTTTATCCAGAATGCTAACTTCTGTTTGTACGTCAGAAAGGTCAACTCCACACTGCTCAGCTTATGAATCAAAACCCTGAAGGAAACAGAACAACAGTTTCAACTTGCAACTCCACTTAAATCTGTGGCAACCCTGTTAAACAGACTGCGAGTTACCTCAATTTTCTCATCGACGGTGAGCACTCGGGCAATCTACGGATGTCGAAAGACGTTTGCGTGATGTGGATGAAGTTCTTATAAGGGCCAATGTCCCTCACAGAGCCTTCTGAGTCAAGCAGTATAGTATAAGGATTGGTCTTTGAGTTGATGCAGGAAAGGCCATGTTTAGTTTGGCTGTTGTGTGATGGCTGATTTAGATCAAGATAAATGCTTATGAGACAATTGATCAAGTGTTCTGAAAGCTGATTTGGTGTCTCAATGCAAGCTTCTTTTCGGGTTCTCGTCGCGTTCTTCCATGCACCAACGTCGCAGGCTCCAGCAAGATGGGAAGATTGATGATTACCAATGGAAGACATGGTAATTTGGATATCAGAAGCAGCACTTGAAGAGAATCTCCTCTCACTCAGCATCATCATGTCTTTTCTAAGTTCATCATAACGCTGAGATTTGGAGCGGTGGGCATTAGTTTCAGGTCCATTGAAGAGCAAGTTTTGTTGGCAAAGCCTTCTAAGGCGCTGTTCCCTCTCTTTGTCCAAGTTGAATTTCAGCTCTTCAACCTTTTTCTCTAACCTATCAACCTCCCTCTCCACAGCTCCCAGCTCTTCCATAAACAACTGCACCTGCAAAGAACAAGGAATCAACACATTTCCTCTGCAAAATTGATGCTTTTACCCCAAAAACTGATGTACCTGAGGGGGCAAAGAGGAAGAAACATGGGGGTGGGACAAGAGAGGGCCATGGAGAGCCCAATGCAGAGCCTTGTTGAGTGCTTGTTCGGCATGCAATTCTGCCTGCAACTTCAAAACCTGAAGAGAAACTCAAACTAGATTACTATTTCAGGCCATTTTTAGTTTGTTCCTCTTTCAAATACTTAAAAAAAAAAGAAGGGAATCTCACTTCAGCCTCAAGATCAAGCTTGCGCTGATGCTTTGGCGTTGGCTGCGTCAGGAAGTCCTCAAATTTCATTGTGTTTTTGGGTTTGAGAAGAACATATAGAACACAATATAGCGGAAAACTGAACAGAGTTCTAACAGGGTTCTTATTTAAATGAAAGGAGAGAGAGAAGGGTGTGATCGTGGGTGCCATTAAAGATGAGTTGACTAAAGATTTTCGGTTTGAGAAAATGGCTTTTCTGACATTAATTAGTATAAAGATAGGCAATCTCGTGTGTCTTTTGGATTTCATTAATATGAAAGGTGGGTGTGGTGAAGAACGTGAAGAACGTGAAGAACATCAAGAACATCAAGAACATCAAGAACATCAAGAACATCAAGAACATCAATACAGACACAACAACAAAACCTTCTCTGTCTTCAAATTTGACAGAGGAGAACTCAATTTTACACATCGTTCTTATGTCAGAATTATACAAATATTTTAAACTTTTAATGCAAAAAAATTATATTATAATAATATTTATAAAATATCTTGTTTCATAAAAAGTTATTATCATTGAAACATTTTAGATATATATATACTACTAAATGAGAAAGATCAATTCGCCGTCTGTGGGGATCGAACCCACGACCACGTGGTTAAAAGCCACGCGCTCTACCACTGAGCTAAGACGGCTTTTTGTCTTTTAATGAAAAATAGACGTTAAAATTAAATGAAAATATATAAAATTTTCTAATAGGTTTTCAACCATATCATTTCTTGGGTTAAGTAAATTATAAATTTTTATTTTCTTGATTTGTCTTTATTTATTTAATAAATTATTAAATTTAATGTTTATTCATTAAAATATTTTTAATTCTACAATGTCAGATTTTAACCACGCGCTCTACCCACCTATATGTGCATGTTTAACTGCTTGTGTCTCTATCGACTCATCAATTGACTTTTATTGTTGGGACACCCTTAACTTATGTGTTTATGGCGAGTCATTTACAATTATCTTATACGTGAAGGCCTAATAAAATACAAACTAAAAACATAAATTGAAATGCCGTCAATAGGGATTGAACCTACAACCACGTGTTAAAAGTCACACTCTCTACCACTAAGCTAAGACGCTCCGAACTTTGGTGTAAAAAAGTTACAAGTATTGTATTTTTAATTCTAATAGTTGACATAGTAAATTACTAAAAGCAATTATGAAGTACACTTAATTTTTAAGCCTTTATTGTTTAAACAATTGGGATAAAAAATACACACTTTTAGCACTTTTTACTTTTTACTTTTTACTTTTTTACTATAATTTTAATTTTTAATCGACTCCAAACTTACTTTTACACAATAATTGTGAATGGAGAGGCTGTGGCAACCATAAAAGTGGTTAAATGCCTTTCGAGAATAAACATTAAAATAATAATCACAATCTTAATTTCCATTAAGGAGTTTATTTAATCTTCTAATATTAAAGAAATTATTAATAATAATAATTAATATTATAAATATATGTTTTGAACGAGGAATTTTACGGTAGAAATAATGAAGATGCAGAAGCCAACAAAATAAAAAAAATCCCCCCTTGCAGGCTACAGGTGTCACAGTGGAGCCGATGAAGCCACCTTAGTATTCACTCTCCTGCCATCCTCCCACTTCCTCTCCATCATATTGGGTCTCCTGTGAACCATGTAACCAACATCATCAACTAATGTTCATCTCATTTTGACCCTTTTTTTTTTTTTTTATGTGCAAACAAGCTCGATTACCTTCTGGGTGAAGCTCACTCCAACTTGAATTTCTCCGGAGTAGTTCAGATCGCCTCCTACCACGCTATACTTTTGAGCCCGTAACTCCGACACGCCGTTCTCAGCTCCAAGAGCTAACAAATCTTCCACGTATATCCTGCAACAGTGTCAAACAACTGAGTCGTTCTTATTTTCTATCGTAATGTTGCAGTTTAATTGGTGCTGGTGGAGTAAATGTATTGTGTGAGATCCCAGGTGTTGAGGATTATTGGGAGTGAGTCCCACCTTTAGTGGAAGATCAAGGGTTTACAAGTAAAGGAATAGATCTCCATTGGTATGAAGTCTTCTGGGAAGCCCAAAGCAAATCCACGAGAGTTGTTGCTCAAAGTGAAAAATATCATACTATTGTGGAAATCGGTGATTTCTAACATAGTATCGGAATCATGCCCTACATTTAGTCATGTCAATAAAATCCTCAAAAAAATCTTGAGAGAAAACTTAGAAGGTAACAGAATGGTTGGAGAGGGGAATGAATGCCAGCGAAGTGGATTGTGAGATCCCACCTTGGTTGGAGAGGGAAACGAATAACCCGAAGGAAGTGAATTGTGAGATCCCATATTGGTTGGGGAGGGAAACTAATAATTCTTTATAATGGGGTGGAAACCTCTCGCCCAGAAGAAAAAGGTTTGACAGCAAGGACGCTGGCCCCGAAGAAGGTTGGATTGGAGTTCTCACATCGATTGGAGAGGAAAATGAGTGCCAGCGAGAGGGGAAGCCCAGAAGATGACAAATTCCGCTAACCTGTTAGAGATAGTGGGAGTGTTGTTATTATAATCCAGATGAAGATCAAGGGTCTTACGAGGTTTGGCCAATGAAATCATCAGCAGAGAAGTTGTCATGGTCCATGATCTTGAGGACGAGCTTGAAGTCATCACCGCTTCCGGGGTACTCTGCTCGGAATGTAAATGTCTCGTTCCATACAGGACTGCCTCCTTCACCTGCACCATTAAAGTTACACAAACAAGAACAGCACATCTCACTTTCCCAAACCCAGATAAAAAATGTGGTTAATTTCTTATGCTTCAAGTTTCAAATCCAATTCCCAGGAAAATGCTCCTTGTATTAATCACACAACCAAGAAACAGATGCCTTTTTAGCAGATCAGTCTATTAAAGAATCTTTGTTAAGGATACTAAAAAGGATTAACGAAGGAATTAACTAAGATTAATAAGCATTTATCACTAATCCTATCATCATTTATGAGCTTGCAAACAATGAGGAGGAAGAGTAACCTCTGGCAACGCTGCTCTTGCGCTCTTGGCCCTTATACTGAATCACAACATAAGGGTCAATTCCACCTGTTATGTGAGAAGAAGATCATTAGCTTAATCACAAACTAACTTCATTCCAATTAAGAAAAGATTAGAAGCATTAAATTGATCCAGATCTAACAGCTTGATTCAATAAACAAGGCCAAGTACAAACCCCCGATTCTTCTAAATTAGTCGTCACAAGCCAGAAAAAATGGAATCAATCAAGAATTTGAAGAACACCAGAGGATATGGGAACGAAGAAAGAGTATTACCCAGAAAATCTGTGCCTCGAAGTCCCTTTGCGCTTACCAATTTCACCTCCAAAGTTCCGATCGCCATCTTTGCGTTTCTCTTTGTCCAGCTTCAACGAATATTTTGCGGAGTGGGTTTATATAGATGGCCTGCCGCAGCCAGTTGTCAAAATCGATGACTCAACCAATCACGCAGACACGCCACCCACGACCAACACGGTCAAGTCCACCCGGGTTTTTGAACTATCGAACTTTGGTGGCTTCCCATGCCATTATAAGCTCTTCATATGAGTAAAGATTTCGACTTTCTTTTATATATCCATTTTTTTCCCAAATGGGTTCTTAGTAATACTGCATTAAGTTACAAAAACACCCTTTATTTAGCTCAAAATTACCTGGGAGATAAAATTAGATGCATTAAGATCTTGAGTTCATCGGGTGAAGTAATCTTTTAGTCATTAATATATGTAGTGAATATAAAATTTAGACAATGGTAGCGGTCAAAGGAAGCATCCATGTGATACACGGGAATTGATATCATTTCTCTACCTGGGTCCTTTTTATAATTCACGAACAGCTATGACTTTGATACTCAAGTTGGAGGCTGCTTTTCAAAATGGGCACAAGCAAAGAAGGGAAATTCCATCTTTCAGAGGGATTTATTGCCAGATCCAAGAGGTAAAAGTAACTACTACAGCAGAACATGTAGAATTTTTCTGCTATTCTCAACTCTATAAGAAGAAGAACAACACTCTATTTTGTTAAAGCATTGTTTGAAACGAGTGCTTTAAGCTTAAGATGCCTGACTCTTCGTGGAACGAAATCTTGTTCTTACCAAGCAACAACAGGAACACACAAGGGGACTGATTCTGCAGACAAGTAAGCAAACATCTTTAAACAAGAAGCTGTACAATGTTTCAGTACAAACATGAGGGGTCGTCCAGTTCGGCCGAAACGTTAGCCGGTTCATCAGATGTCTAAAGATTTAGTACTGAAGCTGATGGTCTAGGATAAGGAACAGCTTTGTTATTTGTGGAGCCACGGCCTTGACTGGAGTTCTTTAGGGGTTTGCTTACAGGGCCACCCCTTGATCCATTTGTTTCACTGGAATCCTGAATTTGCTCCAATGCTTTCACCACTACATTCATGTTAGGCCTTAACTTGGGTTCAGTTGATATGCATTGAATGGCAAGTTTAGCTGCTTTCAGTGCTCCTCCTGTCGAATATTGGCCTTCAATACGTGCATCCAATATTCGAAGAATTCTTCGTTTGCTAGCGAGGTAAGGTTTCGCCCATTCCACAAGGTTATGTTCTCCAGATGGTCGGTTTTTGTCTATAGCCCGTCTCCCCGATAGGATCTCGAGAAGAACAACTCCAAAACTATAAACATCGCTCTTCGAAGTGAGATGACCTTCAAAAGAAGATGACGTCGTTAAATAACTAGTAGTCATAGTCAAGCTCAACTAGAAAGCTACCTGTGATCATATATTCAGGAGCAGCATAGCCAAATGTTCCCATAACTCTCGTGGAAACATAGCTTTTATCACCTGTAGGACCATCCTTGGCTAATCCAAAATCAGAGAGTTTTGCACTATAGCTCTGTCATTTCAAAGTTCAATACAAATGAGATCAACTACAAATATTTCAGAAACATAAGCTTGAAGAGGTTGAATTGTCTAACATACTGAGTCGAGCAGGATATTCGAGCTTTTGAAGTCTCGATATATTACTTTCGCTTCGTCGCTATGTAGAAAAGCTAGTCCTTTAGCTGCACCAAGGGCAACTTTCATTCTGAGGCTCCATGATAGAGGTTGAAACCGAGAACTCCCTGATCCACCAAAGACATAAAAGGAGAATCTAAGTCATTCTTGCAATACCAATTCAACAGGTGAAATAAGTCAATAGCTTACTCCTAAATAGATGGTTTTCCAAGCTGCCTCGGGGCATAAACTCGTAAACGAGAAGTCGATGCTCGTCCTCTAAACAAAAGCCAATCAATCTCACAAGATTAGGATGATGCAGCTGACCAAGGTAGTCTATTTCTGTCTGTAAATTGAGACATCCATAAATGAATCCATTCCAAAAGAAGAATAGCATGAAGAGTACACGTTAATGGATAGAGAGAAACTAACCAGCCATTCTCTGTGACCCTGAAAGCCTTCTTGGTTGAGCCTTTTCACTGCAATGACCAAGCCAGTCCCGGGCTTGGTAGCTGCAAAGGACTGCTCATCAATCCACCCCTTGAAGACAGAACCAAAACCACCCTCACCCAACACACTATCAGGCCGGAAGTTTCGAGTGGCGGTTTTAAGTTCATTGTAGGGGAAGTTTTTCAAGTTGGAGGACTGCAAGATCTCGCCTTCTGTTCGTGGAGTCCGCGGGGTTGAGACCGATGAAGACTTGCTGATTGAATTACCTTTATCATCTCTTGAATCCTTGGAGCTCAGGCCTGTGTAGGAGGCATTATATATAACCATTGTTATAAAAGCATAAGCAGAAGCAAAGAGTCATACACTGACAGCCAATAAAACCACAGAATTAACATGAACACTGATGCTTCACAAGGTTGCTTGATCTAGTTTTTAAGTTGATTCAACAACTAAAAAAGATTCATAAATCACTCACGGTTAGAAATAACGAATCCCAATCAACCCCTTAATTAGGGGACGTGGGACTCCTCTCCCAACAATTCTCAACAATGTTCCCCTCGAACAAAATACTCCATAGAGCCTCTCATGAAGCGTATGGAGCCCTCGAATCGTCTCCCCTTGATCGAGGCTCTACTCCTTCCCTGCTTTAGTTTTCCCATTAGAGACATTAAAAAGAAAATCCTAAAAGTAGTACTTCGAAAGAGCCTTTTAACGAACCCACATAGTCTTACAATGTAACTAACCCCTTTGAACTCTGACATGAATCATACAAAAACAACCCAAATTTGGTCACTCCAATCACATCATTTTAGCTATTAAAAACAACCAAAATCATAGAGAACAAAGAAGGAAAAGGTTGAAACCATTGTGAAGAGGGCTCTCAGCTTTGATCCTAGCACTGAGGCAGGACCCCATGAACAGCAAGCTCAAAACAAAGCTCTGGACAAAGCGGCTCCAAAACAGGGGAAATGAAGGGAAGAAGAAGAAGAAGAAGAAGAAGAGGGAGCTAGAACTAGCAGTAGCAGTAGCCTAGCCCGTGAATGGGAAGTGGGTTTGTTTTAAAAGTGTGAAAGGTAGAAGAAGTTCCATGAGAAAGCCAAAAGAATATGAAATTGAGAAGGGTAAGGAAGAAAGGAAGGGGGGTTTTAAGCAGCTGAGGACAAAAGGTGCAAAAGGGTTGACTTGGCGTTTTATGGCCTACACTGACAGTTCAAGTAGGTGTAGATTCAAAATGGCATTAACTTCGCTGCCTCCTCTTTCTTCCTCTTTCTATGGATTTACCATTGGTTTTAGAACAGTTTAGTTTGTAAGCGACACAGCCCCGCAGCGCTGGTGGAGAGTTTCTGAATCTCGATAAAGGGTTCGTTCCTTTTACCCTAATCTTCATTCACAAGGCACTCATCAAGTTTCAAAACAATTCTATAAAACGAATTTCGATAAACTATGTTTAAATAAATACTCATACTTCTTCATTAATCATCCTCCTTGGTTGCACATAGTTCTATGATTCAACCTCCTTTCCCAAATCTAGACTTTCTAAATAAATTTGAAAATTCTATTGACGTCATAATCTTAATACTATGTTAGATGAACACGACTCATGCAATGATATGATGTTGATATTGTCTAATTCAAATATAAGCTTTTGTGGTTTTGTTTTCGACTCCAATAAAGATAGTATCATTTAATTATAAACTTATGATCATTACAGCTCACTAATATAAAAACATGACCAATTGCTATTTGGTAAATAAAAAGAAAAAAGAAAAAAGGAAGCCGGCAATGTTGACCTGTTGACCTTCATGCGGTAGTTTGTCCCACCGCCAACGTAATTAAAACAAAATTGTATAAGAGGATTTTAATATTTAATTTCTTTCCATTATTCTATAGTTTTAATCTTCTTTTTTAATTTATAAAATAATATAGTATTGTATTTAAATACATATATGACGTGTCAAATTATAATATGGATCATGTCAATAATGATCCTAAATTTTTAATGTATTGTCACATGATATAAATATATTTTAATATAACCAAATTGCTTCAAAAATAATTTAAATAGTTCAAGTGTACCATAAGACTAGGTTTATCCCTTTCAGTCAAACAATACCAAAATTTACAACATGAAATAGACAGAGAAAGTCAACTAAAGTATTATGTTTTTTTTTTTATATATATTTTAATCTACAATTGAATGCTCGTGTTTAGCTTCTAAATAATCATTTGATATTTGATTGATATTTTATGATTAAATATGATTAAATTACAAATTTAGTACGTCTAAATTCTAATCGAGCTCATTCAACATTTTGTTTAAATTCATATATCTATGAAATTAAAATTTATTTGTAATAATATTTTATAATTTTTTTAAAAATTTGCTAAATATATTAATAATCAAGAAAGTTTGTATAGAGAAATAAATACTTCAATAAAATTTAAAGTTAATGAATTATTAAAAAATTTAAATTTGTAATTCAAAACATTATGTATTTGCTCTATACCTACAAATATATATATATATATATACTTCACTATTAAGTTGAATATATTAAGGTCTTAAATTAATAATGGTATAAATTATATTTTATTTAATAAAATATTTAATGTTAGGTATAAATATTTACAGTAATGAAATATTAATTTATGTCAAATCATAATCCGATGAGAAAATAACTTTAATTGAAATAAAATAGTCTAAATTTATATTAAATTCAAATAAAACATCACCTAACCCCTATATTAGTTTTCCAAATAAATGCTTTTATTTTAATTTTACAAAACTATAATACACATGCTTTATATTACCATTGGTTGACTTTATTATTTTATTAATAATATTTTTTTCCTTCCATTTTTTCTTTTGTCGCGGACATTCAACTACCAACCATATTTAGTTTGGTGCTTATTTATGATATTTGACTTCATTAGACAATATTTGAGAAATCATATTATATTTTTCAAAATCAAAATTACAATATATATATTTGTTTATTTTTTTATGAATGGATTGGTTTCCAAATAGAGTCACACCCTAATCCAATTCAACTCTCTATTTTCGGGCGGGATATGATTGGGTTGTCAAGTTTTGTTTATTATTATTTTTAAAAAATAATCATTACTAATATCGCAGACGTGGAATAGTCTTAAAATCTAAATTGTTCTAGATAATATATTTAATCTAAAAAACACGCAGACAGATGAATGTGAATCCAGACCTAGTTGGGCCCAATGGAAACGTTCTGGACCTGAAAAGCCCATTCCAAACAAGTCACGGGGAATGTTGTTGGCGTCACCTGTCGGTGAGTTAATTTGAGTGAAGGCACAATCCTACAGGCTAGCACCCTACATTTAACCCTAGCTAGTTATTTAGTGACCACGAACGGCAAAAGATGCCATGCTTTTCGCTTTTCGTCTACAGTCCGTTTATAATTCAAACGGCCGTTCCTCTCAACAAAATTCCACGTCACATGCTAAATTTTGTTTTTCTAAAAATAGTTTTGGTTAAAAACTATTTTGTTATGTTATAATTGATTCTTTAAACATTAATATTAAAATAATACTTTGGGCCAAGGTATATGTTACATATATATAAATATATAAATCAAATAAATTATTTAATAATGATACAAAAAATAATTTTAAAAAAAGAAATTAGAAAAACGTTTTAGTGTAATTTTGGTAGGTTTGTTTAGTTAAATACATAATTATAACATCAAATCTAATAGATTAAATCATCATTAATGACGTCAGAAACCTCCATTCATTGATAGTTGATTGTGACTTGGTCTCCAAGTGTAGATTCGTGTTAAATGACTATTTTACCCTTTCCTGCCGATAATGTTTGGTAGACATTAGGTGGCTTGGTTTTATTTGTCAATAAAATAATGGAGAAATTATTAAAATAATATTGTATTGTTTTGCTTCATAATTATGCCTTTTAAAACGTTGTGAGATTTTCTCATTAAAAAAATGAAAGTAAAAGTTTGTTAGTCTTCCCATGTTTTAGTCAAATTTAGCAGGGTGATTACAAATTTAATATTTAAAGTTTATCTTGAGACATTATTGTATGTCTAGGCATTTAATGGTCTTGATATCATCTACGACATGATCATGTTACTTACCATTAGCTTTGAAGAGTGAGAACTATCTTTACGTACCAACACGTTTTGTGAAAATTCTTAAGAGACTATCTAACATAGGATTACCCGTCTATTTTAAAAATAATTATAAGAAGAAAAAAAAAAGCTTAAATTAATGAGATGAATTTGCTTAATTTCTTTAATTTTTCTTTCTCCTTACCCACTGTTTGCAATATTTCCACGTAATCGGGAGAGATTTACTTGTTCTTCAAGAAAATAGAGGATATTTTCGTCCTTTCACTATTTATGTATGCCTTTATAAGCACTTCTTCCAAATCCTAGTTTTTCCCTTTCTCTTCATCCTTCTGAAACGAAAACAAAAGGCTTCGTTCTTTTTCGTCTCTCCTTTTCGCCTCCTTGTTTCTTCTCTGACCCATTTGAGTTCTAATTTTTGTTTTTTGAGCTCCCATAATTGAATTCTTCGAAATTAAAAACCCCCCAAATTCCTTTTTCCGCTCCTTTTGTGTTTAAATTTAGCGTCGACGATGATTTTAGCTAATAGAGAAGATGGGGTTGGGCGTTCGTCGTAATCGGAGGGGAAGTGGGACGTGGAGACGGATAGAGGCAAAACAGAGGGTTCTTTTGGGCCTGGAAATGGACTGCCGGATATGCGTTGCGGGTGGGGATTTATGGGTCAAAGTAGGCGGCCGTGGTGGAGTCGGAATTAAGGGTGTGGGTCAAATGGGAGGTTTTAGCCATGAAAGCGAGCATGATTTAGCCCTCATGGTTAGTGATTTCTTGGAAAATGGGAGCGGCGGAGCTGACTCTTGGTGTAGCAGCGATAGCGATTCTGGTGTCTCTGATCTTACTCATCTTGCTGACAAGATTCTGGTAACTTTCTCTCTTGAAATTTTTTTAATTCTCGTTTGATTAATTGAATTTTAGCTTGCTTTGGTGATTTCTGGATGTAATTATGTTTATGACTCCTCTTTTTAGAAACGTAATTATATGTTCTTTTGACTTATTGATTGATATTCTTATGATTACCAAACGGGGTTGAGACATGAATATTGATTATGAACGTTTGAACTTTCGATTGGTTCATGATGCCTTTGTTTTTGTTATATTGGATTAGTAAACGAGGAAACAAATATAACACCCTTCGAAGTTGTAGGAATTCATCAATTGAACCATGAACTTGTAATTAAAGCCCTTTTGGAGATGTCTCTGTACAAGATTACTGTGATTTAGAACTGTCCTGCACATTGTTTTGTGATGAAACTAATAGATGAGATCCATAAATCAATTGAATTCTCAGAATTTGTTGTTTGTTTTTGTCAGTTCTATAAAAATCCAGTATCCCAATACGAAAGTGATTTGCTTTCAGTGGTTCATTCGCTTACCTTGTCAATGAATGAGAAGGATTTGAACATGAACAAGTCCGGTTCGTGCAATGCTAGTTGCATCCGGTTTGTTTTGGTTAAGCTACTGAGACTCTATGGCTATGATGCTGCTGTATGCACCACCAGATGGCAGGGTGCTGGCAAGGTCCCTGGAGGTATCCCTTCAAAACCTTACTCATTTTACTTTCAAATATGGAGAATTTTCTGTTGATATGACATAAGAACTCAACTTGGGTGTTCGTGGGTATGCCTTAATTACTAGAATAAGCTTCTTCTTTCGTAGTTTATTCTATCAGATGTTCTATTCTCTGCTTTTTGGGTAGTGCTTGAGGGCATAATCTCTGGTAGTTTGATACTCTAATTGATGGAGAAATGAGTCTGGAACTTCTCTGCCTTCTGGAATCTTTTCTTTATTCGGCGTAACGCCTTTTTCTCGTACATCTACAGGTGATCATGAGTATATCGATGTCGTTAACTACACCTCTGGTAGCTCAGAGAGGTTGATTGTCGATATTGACTTTCGAAGCCACTTTGAGATAGCGAGGGCAGTTGAATCATATGATCGGATATTGAATTCGCTTCCGGTAATCTATGTTGGATCTTTATCTCGGCTTAAGCAGTTCCTTCAAATCATGGTTGAAGCTGGGAAGTCGTCGCTGAAGCTAAACTCCATGCCGCTTCCTCCATGGAGATCGCTTGCATACTTGCAAGCGAAATGGCAGTCACCATGCCAGAGAATGGTTAATCCAGAAGAAGAGCAGCAGTTGGGGAGCAGAGACATGTTGAGCCACGAGCAGTGCAGTGGACACTTGAAGAGACTTCAGTCAGTACTCCAATCAGAGATGGAATTGGATCGGTTCGTAAGGCCGGTGAAGGGCGATATGATCGTTAGGAAAATGAAGTCGGAGAGGCGACGACACTCGTTGTTGAGAGCCGTTTGACGAGAGTGTAGAGACGAGGAATTTTGATGAGAGTCGGAATCTTGAATTGTTTTTGGTTGTTGTTGGGGGTATGGTATAAGTATGAAATAAAAAGTGAGATGGTTGAGTTTGTAGAAGAAATAAAAGGGGTCCTGCAGGGCTCCATTTTGATGCACCACAGCCCAGCAGCCGCCGCCGCCGCATCAGCAGCAGCAGCAGCATAAGTTGATGGATGAGGATTGGGAATACAATATAGAAACAACCAAACAGCCAAACAACCTACGACCTACAAACACTGCTTGGTTCTTATTATTTTTGGTGATTTATTTTTATATATTTATACAATAGTGAGAATTAGAAACAATTGTTTTTATTTTTTCTTTTTCATTTTTCTCTGCCGTATTTTCCTATGCCTATTGTTTTTTGTGGGCGTTGGGATCCTTTCATTTTTCCTTTTTCCTTTTTTTTTATTTATTTTTTTTATCACACTCACATATATATATATATATATATATATATATATGCAAGCAAACAAATAAATAAATTAATATATGCATGTATTTTAATTTATTCATTCTCTTAATATCATTTTCATTGCATTATTGGTCATAATAGATGTTGTTCATCTTACAGATGTTTATAGGTGGACAGGAAGCTTTCATTCTCTTCTCCACGAAATTTTCTATTTATTTTTATTAACGTGGAATTAAACAATTTTTTTAAATGAGGGCCTCCCTAGTTTTCTTTGTGCATGAATATGATTAAAGGCTATGGTGCCTTTATAAAAGAAAAACTACCTTTATTGGAGGGACTTCTAGGTTGTCAAAACACATGACCCAAATGTGTTCAATTCCACCTTTCTCTTAGCTTCTTAAAATAAATCTTATATACTCTCTTCACCATCTTAGTTTGGCCACTCACTCGTATTTGTCTTGTTTAGTTACCATACACTTGAAACAAACAGCTCCTGGTAAGATACTGATCAAATACGAAGTTATAACCAAACAAACCTATATTTTATGTAATTGGGCTTTCCGAGATTAATTTAGAAGGAAGAAATGGGTGTAATTATGAAAGTTGGGAAACAAATGAAGCTCTTGATTCAAGTAATTTTCCTATTTAGGTTTAAAGTTGTGTGGTCCTCCTCCTCTATAATTGGGCTCCTTGTGACCATATTTGGAAGTTCATGGTAACCTAAAACAACTAAGATCTTCCAATTTAATTCCCTAACTATAATACAAACGCCAATCTAGGCCTTCATCTATATATATATATATATATATATATATATATATATATATATATTTTTTGTTATCTCTAAATATAATGTTTGTAGCACCCGGACAGTAGTAGGATGATGTTCGACGCTTATTTGTGAGTTGATTTAACTCAACGTTGTATGTAGGTCACTATTAGAATGCTTGTGATCGTCAAAACAAGTTGGTACTGTTGTAAGTCTTCATCGCCCAAAGAAACGAAACGATGTTGTTGGAGAAGAGAGAGACCAATGTAGGGTTCCTATTTTCTTTATAAGAGAAAAGAGAGGAAGGGGAGAGAGAGAAGAAAAAGATTGAAAATGAAAGAAGAAGATTTATTAGACAATCTTAAAGTTGAAGACTAAAATTATAATTTAAAATTAATTTTGGAGAATGGGAATCTGATGTTGGTACCAATCGCTGGGATCTAATCACCACCAAACACAGTGATATTGATACAGCATCTAATGGAAAATTCATCATCATTAAGCTAAGTGGCCAATTAAGAAATAAAGGAAGCCAAATAAAGGAGACATGAACAGCAGAAGATTGGTTTTTTAATTATGGAAGCAGCAGAAACAACAGAGCCCATCACCACAAGGGAGAAGAAAGAAGAACAAGACATGGAGGAAACAGAGACAAAGAAGAACAACAAGACGCAAAAACATCAACACCCAAATGACCAAACCACAAAATCACCCTCTGATTTCTCTTTCAAGCCAACCTCCCATGTAAAGGGTCTCAGATTCGGTGGCCAATTAATCGTTAAATCCTTCACAATCCGGCGAGCTAGGCCTTTAGAGTTTCTCCAGCTCCTCTCTTTCCCGGCCACCACCAGAAATTCCGACCATAAACCGCCGTTCCCATCTGCCACAGCTTTCATTCCCACAAACTTCACAATCCTCGCTCACCATGCGTGGCACACACTCACTCTAGGCCTCGGCACCAAGAAGTCCAAAGTTCTTCTCTTTGTGTTTGAAAATGAGGCCATGAAGGCAGCAATAGACCGTGTTTGGGCAGCAGAAATCCCTCTAGGCGAAGTGAATAAGAAGATGATTAGAGGGCTAAGTGGGTGTGAGATGGCTCGGTTCAAATTCAGAAAAGGGTGCATAACTTTTTATGTTTATGCAGTTCGAAGAGAAGGGTGTTTTGGGTTTGCTTGTGCTGATGATTTGAGAACCATTTTGGAGTCTGTTGTGGCTCTCAAAGATTTCTTGGATCACACTGCTATGCTTGCTATGCCTAACCAGAAAACCATCAGCTTTGCGGCGCCTCCTGTTGCAATGGCTTACTAGCCTCTCCTCTAATCATATTGATATTCATTTTCCTCCATTCTCATATCATCAATCTTAGCCAAGCAGAAGGGATTCATTGGTAATTGGTTTATTTGTTCAAACTTTTCTCTTCTTCGTCGTGATTGTATACACAGTTCGTTTTCTGAAACTTGAAATGGAAGAGCATCCGCTCTTCAACAACATGGAAATCTCTAGTACTTGCTAATAAATTATGATGATTTTGCATCTACAGGCCACAAAATCCCTGCCCTTTTCCCATTTTACTCGCTTTTATTCTTTATCTCCAAATTTTGTTAGACAATCGGATAATCCACCCCCCCCCCCCCCCCCCCCCCCCCCCCCCCCCCCCCCCCCCCCCCCCCCCCCCCCCCCCCCCCCCCCCCCCCCCCCCCCCCCCCCCCCCCCCC